AGAAAAGATCACTAAGAGAAATAATTCTCTCCAATGCAAAGAGCTATTTAAGGAAGCAAAGCTTCTCATGACACCAGAGTGGAGATACACTATTTTATTGACCACTTTGGAGGAGAAAGCCTGAGAAAGACCTTCCTTGCTGATTTAGTTGAGAAACCTGGTGAAAGAATTGTAGCGCATGATTAAGAAATACAATACCTCAGCTTGGCACCTGTGGCTCAAGCAGCTCAGGCTCCAGCCACATACACCTGAGCTGGCGGGTTCGAATCCAGCCCAGGCCTGCCGAACAACAATGATGGCTACAACCAAAAACAGCTGGGCGTTGGGGTGGGCGCCTGTGGTCCCAGCTACTTGGGAGGTGGAGGCAGGAGAATCACTTGAGCCCAGGAGCTGGAGGTTGCTGTGAGCTATCATGCCATGCACTCTACCCAGGGGGACAGCTTGAGGCTCTGTCTCAAAAACAAAAAAAAGAAAGAAAGAAATATAATATCTCAAGAATGTAAAAGGAAAATGTGTGCCGCAAGAAAGAACTAAACGTGCGAACTGTATGCATGTCATTTAGATATCCCCTGTAGCCCAGTGATTACTGATCTTAAGATAACTGACCCTTGTTCATTGGGGGGGCTGAGTTTATAGGTCAGAGAAAATGGAAATCTTAAGATTGGCCCAGTCAAAGAGAAACATTATCAGTTTGAACATGGACCTCGAAAGGGATATGCAAAGAATAGATGAAGCAAATCAGGAACTCCTTTTCAAAATCCAAGAGAAAGAAGAAGAGATTCAGAAGTGAGTATTAGGGTTTCATGAGGGCAGTTCCCAATCCAAAGGAAGGGGTGGAGGAGAAGAGACAAAACTGAATTTTCCCGCCTCCTCTAGAACCTACATGTTGGATAACAAAAACGTCTTCTTCATTCTTTGGCTTGAACACCAAAACATAGCAAGTTTCAAATAGATCCCTATTTGAAAGTAATATTTTGTTTGTCTTGGGATTCAGGTGAATCTTAACTTGTGACTTTGAAGTGATCCTAATTCTAGGGATTCATTAAAGAAGAGTTTCCAACATGAGAGTCACGTACACTGCCAGTGAAGTACCCTTGTCTCTGTTTTATCAGTTCTGAAACTGCCAATCCTGGTTCTCACAGAGTGTGCTTATGTTATCCAGGCTGGAAAATGAGGTCACTCAGACAGGAGAACTGGCAGAAGATGAGGAGTGGGAGAAAGAGAACAGCACCGTCATGGAGAGGGAGAGAGCCTTGCAGGAGCTGGAGGAAGACACAGCCAGACTTGTACGTGAGAAGCTGGGAAGAGTCATGTAATGGGTGTCATTCCTCTGCTGTCCCCTCATCCACAGTCAGACCAGCTAGTCTCTCCTTTCTACATAAAAAGAATAGTCAGCTCAAAAGTCATGACAGAATTTTTCCATGCAGGGAAGGGATTCTGCATGGTTATAGTTAGCACTGAGAAGCCCCAAAGATAGGCCTCCCTACCCCTGCTAAGTCTCTGTGGGCACATTACAGTGCACCAGGTAGAAGTCCCGGAGGAAACTTGGCTGGGGTGAAACAGATGACAGTGGAGTGGACAAAGACAGATGGTGGTGGACAGACGCAGACTTACACTCTGCTGCTTTGTCTCCACAGGAAAGGAAGAATGACACGCTGGTCCACAGCATAACAGAACTTCAAAGAAAGGTGAGGTGGGGTCTTGCCTTCAGTGCCTCCATTCATCACAGACGCAAGGGGGATGTTTAACAGAAAGAGACCCACATCTCAGAGAAATCTGTTCTTGGAGTGGGTACAGCTCTCTGATCCACTCTCTTAAGCCTGCAGCCCCTGACTGAAAGTCCATGGATTTTCTCTGCAAGTATGTGGTTAAATGAGTGACTAGGGTATTCCGTCATCCCACGAGTTCTTTATTCTAATAAGAACAAATGGAGTCCAACAGGTACACTGTTGAAATGATTAACTGGGACCTTTGTGGTAAGATGGAAATTTTACTTTCAGCAAAGAATTTTAGAAAAAAAAGAGTCAATTAATCCCCAAGGATTCTCTTTTCCTTGTCTGGGCACTTCCTTTTATCCCAGTGCGCCTCAGAATACAGTGGACTTCCTTTGGTTACCTTACCCTCTGATGCCTGCCTCCAGCCCTGAGTAACCCAGCATGAATTAGGTGTTAGGGGAAGGACTCTGGCCTCGAGCACTGGTGGCCAAGGTTAGTGAGAAGGAGGCGGAGGTAGAACAAAGACGTTTGTACAGGGCACCAAGGGTCTCCCAAGGGACTATCTCCTGGAAGCTGTTATCAAAGCCATAGTTACTGACCCCACATACCAGAGAAAGTCTTTGCCATCTACATTGTTAAATTTAATGCACTTTTTATTTAAAATGTACTTTTTATTTCAAACTATAGCTCAGCAGGAAATCACAAAAGGTAACCAAGTATGAACAAAGCAATCTAGACGGAACCCCAGAAGAGTCAAAGGTAAATGAAAAAGCCAAATCCCGGATGAGGGTGGTCTGTGTGACCAGGAGACAAGCTGTTAAGGTGAAAACGACTGTCAAGGTTGGCCCGCATTCTTGGTAGTTTTTGCCCACGTCAGGATTAAGCCTGAACTATGAGGTGCTAAATTCTCCTCTGCCCATAGTAAGGAATGTCACTCTGGAGCCATAGTTTGTTCTTTTCATTAGGAAGAACAGATACAAATGCATATGTAACATATGAGGCAGCTGAAGTTCCTGGTTTATATCCTGACCCCAGCACCTAATTTAATGTGTGAAGTTCCGCCCAGCCTTCGCTTGAGAATTAAAAGAGAAAATGTATATAAAATTTTCTTTCCTTTTTGGATGATTGAAACTCCCAAAAGTCATATCGTTTTTAAGTTATTATTTTAAAAGTCTTGCTAAGATACATGTACAAATTCATAGAGGCAGAAATAAGATTTGTAAGTCTACAGAGTGCTTAGCAATTTACTCTGCCATTGATTCTGATCCAGAAAAGTCTTCATTCAACTGATCGCTCACATAGTCAGTGATCACTACCTGCCAAGCAGTGCTTAGAATTTCTCTACAGTGTAGAATTTCTTCTACAGTGCTTAGAATTTCTCTGATTGTGTTCCTGGGCTGATAACCTGGGGCCAGCAATAACCTACCTGATTAAGGGGGAAAAAAAACAACAGAACAAACACACACGAATTACAGACATTTTTATTCAGAAAGTAGATAAAAATTATTTTCAATATTTTCTCCAGAGTTAGGTCTCAGTCCTAACCTTATCTAACTCGTCTTTACCTGCCAAAGACCACGCTTTGCTGTGTGTATAAAGCCTCTAAAGGTATGGACAGTCTACAGATAGGAATAGAAGGTGAAAGCAGAGGTGATCACTGCCCTCTGTCTGCTGGCCAGTTTAGTCTTGGTGACCAGAAAAACAGGAGAACCAAAGCCACCACGTTAGCTTTCTTGCCGGGCACATCCAGGAAAGTTATTTGGAAAGATATCTGAAAAAGAAAGCAGACCCTTGAGTCTACATCAGGAAGAAACTAGAGTTAAGACTAGAAAGGGTTACAGAGACCCTTGACTCCACTTGCTATGTGACTGCAGCAACCAGGGAACTGATTTTATTCCAAGATACCTTCTTTTGCCTGAAAGGTAAGCCCAGCTGGAATTGAGTAGGGACATTTTGAATCTAGCTGTGCTGGCTATGCCAGGTGAGCCGAGCTGACAGAGGATAGAGCCCCAGGCTTTATCAGAACAATGCCCATTATTTTGCTGGCAGCCCAGCCCTCAAAAGTTCTAGAGGACCACTAATTCTCTGAACCACTCTCTTTTGCCCTCCTCTTTTGTCAAATTCTCCGGTAGTGTCTCTAGTTCTGTGACATGTATGGCATCTCTTGGCTCCTGCTGCTCCAGCATGCTGGTAATCAGTTCAGCAGCTGAGAAGGGTGGCTGCTTCAACCCCTTGTGACTCTTACCATTGGATTGAAACTACAGCCTGACTTCTGACTGGCTGGCCCTGGCTATAATTGACTAGAGGGGGAAGTAACTGTCGGAAGAGCCCTGTGGTAAAATAACAGCACCTAGATGGAAGTGAGGACCACAGGGTGCAAAGAGAAAGAGGGTGGTCATGTCTGCCCCACTCCAACATACGTCCCAGCCCATATGCTCCTCTCTATCCACCACCACCATTACTGCTGCCCTTCTGCAGAGCCCTGTAGCTTTGTGCCTGGAAAACTAGAGTCACCTCTTAACTGGTATCCCTGCTTCTACTTTTACTCCCAAACAATCCATTTTTCAAACACAGAAAAGACTGTTCTTTAAAAATATAAGTTGGGGCCGGGTGCAGAGGCTCACACCTGTAATCCTAGCACTCTGGGAGTAGATTGCTTGAGCTCAAGAGTTTGAAACCAGCCTGAGCAAGAGCAAGACCAAGACCCCATGTCTACTAGAAATAGAAAAACGAACCAGGCATTGTGGTAGGTGCCTGTAGTCCCAGCTACTCGGGAGGCTGAGGCAAGAGGATCACTTAAGCCCAAGAGTTTGAGGTTGCTGTGAGTTGTGACGTCATGGCATTACCCAGGGTGACAGGAAAAAAAAAAAATTGAAGTTGTCTTCTGGCCTTTGACTGCAATAAGAATAAAAACCAAACTCCTGCTAGAAGCCACAAGGCCTTGAGCCCCTGCCTGCCTTTCCCTTCCTTCTCTCCTTCCTACCAGCCTTCCCTGTGCTCTAGCCATACAACTCCTTCACACATCAAATCTGTGCAGCTTCATGGTCTGGGCCCATACTGTAGCCTCCCCAGAGGACGTATTTCTTGCAGGTCTCCATTTGGCTAATACAATCAAACCTCTGTAAGTTGACCACCCAAGGGACTGTAGCAAGCTGGTGAGCACACAAAGGTGGTCAACATAAGGAACTAGGCCTACTGTCCTGACATGTGGTACATGTCCGGTCTATGAAAATTAAGTCAACTTAAGGAGGTGGTCACTGTTGGGAGGTGGTCAACTATGAAGATTCTACCATGTTTATGATTTAGATTTCAGCTCAAGTATCATTAGAGAGGCCTTCACCAACCACCGACCTCCATCTCTTCCACTGATCTCTCACACCCCCACCAGCACTGTGTCTCATTAATCTGTCCTTATTTTCTTCCTATCACATCCCATTGCCACCTTGACTCATTCGTGCCCCCTAGCTAGGATGTCAGGAGGGTAGGGAGTCTACCCATCCTGTTCACCACACCTCCTTAGTACCACCCCCCACTTCACTCCAGGATAGTGGCTGATATAGAATAATGCTTTCCCAAATATTTGAGAAAAGAAAAGAGGGAAGAGGAAATACAGGAAGAAAAGAGTGAGCCAACACCCTGGATTCTGACTATATAAAAGGAAGAGTGAAGATTGTGAAGATTGATGTTATTTCTAAGAGAAGGTGCTAAGCAAGACAAGAATGATAGGGGTGAAGGTAGCATCAGATGAACTCTAAAAGGTGAGGAGTATAGAATAGCAGGTTCACAGAGCAGCTGCAAGGGCAGTGGACTGCTTAACTCCTTCCTCAAGAAGGCACTGAAAATCATGGCCCCCAAGCTCCCAAGCAGCCTGTGACGTAGCCTGGGGGATAATATCTCATTCCTATAGTTTTCACCTTGCTGTGTTACCGGTCTCTTTTGCTTTCTCCAGGTTAAGTTACAACAACTGGAAGCTTCCTGTGCTGACCAAGAGAAGGAGCTGATCAAGGTAATAAGAGGGACTTCATTGTCACGGATGCTCAAGGAAGAAAATCTTGATCATCAATCAGACAATTGAATACATTCGTTCAATGATTGACTTGTAATTATAATAAGGTTCCAGATCCTAGACCATTGTGGGGCTAGGAAGGGGTTAAAGAAGTGGAAGATGAAGGCAATCCCCCAGGTTACCTTCTCAGTGACATCTTACAGAATAGATCCTGTGCTCTGTTTCTGTCTCATGTCAGCATCTCTTCCTTTCGCAACTGCCTCCGAGTAATTCCCATTTGGACCATCATTCCCATTTGGCTTGTTATTCCCACGCACACATTCACAGAGGCCCTTTGCAGAGGCTCGGTGAACCTGCTGTTTTATACTCCTCACCCTTTAGTGTTCATCTGATGCTACCTTCACCCCTACCATTCTTGTCTTGCTTAGTAATTTTAGCAATTTCTCTTAGAAATAACATCAGTCTTGAAAAACTGCACTCTTCCTTTTATACAGACAGAATCCAGGGTGTTGGCTCACCATTTTCTCCCTGTATTTCCTCTTAAACACAAAATGAACTGACAGGTGGAGGGAAAAAATTGTCTACAACAATTATAAACCACATTATGAATGTGGGATGCAAAAGGAAACATGTATGCATTTACTCTGAGAGAAATTTATGACCGCATTTTGATTTCCCAGGTAATGGAGGACTATGCATTTGTGGCCCAGCTTTGTGAAGATCAAGCCATCTGCATAAAGGTACAGCTTCTCAGGAAAGGGACACTGATGCTTCTGTTAAGGTTCAGGGAGAACTGGAACCGGGCTCTTCAAAGACTACTGGCTACAACATTTTTAACTCTTCAAAGTGGCACTACCAACAGACTTTAAGACCAGCCATCAGCACCCCACTACCAATATCACTTTATTGTCCTATGACTCCCTGGTCTCCCAATTTCTGCACTCTTAAATGAACAACACACACTTCTGCTAAGTATAGTCCTGATTATGCCCAGTAAGCTACCCAAAGGTGAGCATAGTGAGAGATCAGGGGGTATGGTAGGATCTATGAAAACGAGAAAGTAGCAGTGGAAACACCAAACATACATGGTTCAATATAGTGATAAGTGCTTGCTATGCTTAGAAAAATTATAAAGCTTCTTAGTAGTAACTGTGATGTCCTTTATTTCTCTTTAAAGAAGTACCAGGAAACTTTGAAGAAAATAGAAGAAGAACTAGAGACTCGGTTCCTTGAAAGAGAAGTGTGAGCTTTGGCAAACAAAGGAACATCCTGGTTTTAGTGGTAACTCCATCTCAGCCTGAGTCAGAGCAAATGGTTCTCAGACCAACTCCTCCCTGGGATTGAATGAGCCCGAACACCAAGCATCTTTCCCCTCTGTTAGTGACCTGGTTGACCCCTGCTGGACCAATTTTAAAACTCATGTCCTTTTCCCATCCTCCTTAAAAGACTGCAGAAACACACCTCCCTTCATAATTTCATCACTCGATCACTTTACTATTTGGCTGTATATTAAGAGCAGAACTACGTCCTATAGAAAGTGTCAGTGGGGTGGCGCCTGTGGCTCAAAGGAGTAGGGCTCTGGCCACATATACCAGAGGTGGCAGGTTCAAACCCGGCCTCAGTCAAAAAACAAAGAAAGAAAGTGTCAGTGTTGGGCACCTAGATAAATAGAGTATTCCTTATATTTCACAGAAAGGCCTTACAACTAACACCATCTTTAGTACCCCAAATATATGGAAACCCACTATATGGGGTAGGCACAAAACTAATCTCTATACACACTCAACATCTAGCACATTACAAAACTCAGAACTGTGCACTGTAGTGAACTATAAACATTTAAAATTAGAAGTGATAAAGAAAGGGAAAACTCCCTGGCCATAAAGCACTGAGTTTGTCAAGAAACCAAAACCAAAATGCTCATACCTCCATTTCTGGACCCCTTACTAAGTTAAATCTTAACTCAATCCAAAAGTATTCTGTTTATTAGATATTTTGGAATCTTGGGATTCAAACAAGAGACCATAACTATATGTAGCCTGGAAACAAGCCGAGTGTCAACTGTGGCATAAAGCCCAGGGTCTCAGGACTTGCTCCCCAAGGTCACCTTCAAGTCTCTCAAGATCCTTGCTCAGTAGTCAGTTACGGCTTGTCTGTTAAGCTAAGATTCTAGAACAGGGCTGCCCACTAGAATTTTCTGTGCTGTTCAATAGGTAACCACCACTCCTTGTGACTCCTGAGTACACGGAAAATGGCTAGTGTACTGGAGGAACTGAAGCTACAAGCAGTCAGTGGCCACAATATTGAGCAGAGCAGCTTCAGAATAAAAATCTATTTCGAAATAACTATCACATTGTGTGAATATCTGAGTGTATTTTAATCCTTGTCTTGTTTCTTTTCTCCCTAGGTCAAAAGTCTTGAGCATGAACTCTGCAGGGAAACAAAGTAACAGCCAAAATAATGAGGTAAGCTCTCCACTCCTAACTCAGTGTCTTCCTGTGTCATTGCCTTTCGAAGTTCTCAAAAGATTTTAAGCCACCAAATACATACTCAGTCTTCCCAAGAACAGTACCAACCATAATTCCCAAGCATTCCAACCCCAAACAAACAAACAAACAAGATGCTAAGGTGCAATCCACATTCTCTTCTTATAGCCATACAATTGACAAATTCTCAAAAAGCTAGCCTATGACCTAATGGGATTCAGAATGGAAGCTGGAAGGAACATTTGAGGGTATGCTCTATAGAAAGGAGTTCAAGACCCCCATGCACGCCGCCCCCTCATCTCCCACAATCATAATACTCTTTCCTGACAATCCCAACACAGTTCTGAATCTTTCACAACACAGAGCACCAGGTATCTGTCACCATCTGATCAGAGTTGTCCTGTGAGTTAGACATAGGAAGCCATTGTTTCTTTAGTACAGAGTTTCGATATCTGTTCACATCATGAAGTCGCCAACACACATGCAGAGGTCTAAGGGAGACAGAGCAAATGGATAAAGGGCACCAGTCCACCTGGCCTCCTTGATGTCTTCTGGCAGCAGGCATATAAGGCTAAAAGTTAAACTTCTGTTGGGCTTTAATTTTTTATAATTTATATTGGTTTTAAAGCCAAAATTGACAATCACCAGAAATTATAGACATCCAGATAAATGGTGTGATTAACCTCACACAAAAGAATTCATCTCTTCCCTGAAAGCAAATACCAACAACTGACCATTATCCAGGGGTCATCCACATATTTGGATAGATATTAGACCATGTCCCTATGTCCACAATTCCCATTGTCTTGAACTACTCATTCTGACCCCCGCCTGCATAGTCTACTCAGCAAACAAAACTCCTAAAAATTGACCGGGCCCAACTATCTAGAACCGAGTTTGGCATGGCCTGATATGTCCCACCATTTATCCCCAGTGGCCTGTTAAGGTATTCCTTCCAACCACCTTATCAAAGAAAAAAATACAGAGTTGTCTCATCACGTTCATCAGAGTCCCATGATGAACTCTGGTCTCAGACTCTAAATGGTCTGTCAATGTTTGAGCAACTTTATAGAGGCTGCCTTAGCAGCGGACTGCTTGGGATACCACTTCAGTTTGCTCCCCTAATGAACCAAATTTGTAACCCTAGAAGTGTCTTTCTAATTCCAATTCTGTGAACTTCACTTTCATATGCCTCAAATGGAATCATAATTCTTCCTTTTATTAATCCCTCAAGGAAGTTAAAAGAACAATGAAATAACTAAGAAAAAATATTTTTCATTTTTCAACTTTAATTCCCTAATGGATTACTCAGAAAATATTTTATAAGAGGTATGCCACAGAAATCCAGGGTATATTCTCAACTTTAGAGTTTTATGGATTTTAAAATTTATCTCTTAGGATGTGCTTGAATGGTTTCTGTAACCCGTAAGCTTCTCGAAGGGACATTGGCTGAGTCAAAGGTAAAATGGTAGAGTTGAGAGAGCCAAGAGTGTGGCTTCAGAGGACCTGCGTCCCAGACCTGGCCCTGCCATGTACTATATGACCTTGGACAACATACTTTACATTTCTGTGCCTTAGTTTATTCATATCACTATGTAAAACGGTAACACAAATAACAACGACAATACATCAGAAACTTTGATCATTGAAAATTATATGTACTTATGCATACAAAAAATATATGTACAAATGCTATCTATTACATTTAACTAATGGCTCATTGAATATTATGTGGTGATATCTTCCAGAAATAATTGCTTATTTATCTATGTCCTTTCTTTCTTTTTTTTTTTTTTTTTTAATCTATGTCCTTTCTTTTTCTACCAGGGTAATTCTATCCAAAAGAAGGCAACACTTTTCAGTAAGAGGTAAGTAAAACTTCAAGTAAACTTCCTAGAAAACTGGGAGCTCTACTTAGCAACCCTGGGAGAGAGGAAAGTTCAGACAGACAGAACCTTGTATGTGTACACATGCGTGCATGTGTGTGCACACATAGAGTCAAGCCAGCAAACTAATGTCACTGACCACATCTCTCAGTTCTAATGTCATGACTGACTTGTTTAAAAGTAATTCATAACCTTAGCTTTCCATTATTAGAAGTCAATAGGCTAGTACAAATGTGAAACAGGAATACAATCATCTAATAGAGATACGGCGAGTCTCATATTCACCACCTTTCTTTTAACACTTTGAATTAGCTTGATGTATCTGGTTTCCTAGTGGCCTTCATAGGTTAGAAATGAAAAAAGAACAGAACATGCATAGATGCAAGTCCTACAGATGCCACTACCTACAGCAGATAGAAGAGAAAAAAATTAGGAGAAAGAGTACCTAACAGTACCCCGCACGTAATAATTGCTCAAAAATACTTGTTCAACTGAATAAAGACTTAAGATTCAAACACCTGAGTGGATATTAGTCCGGAGGGAATGACTGTGATAGCAAAGGAAAATTGATATTCAGGAAGTCCCTACATTTTCAAGAAAAGGTCAAATTATATTATATAATCTGTTTAAGAAAGCATAAAGAAACATATATTCAAAGTGGTATGAAATATGATTTAGAAATACCTCTATCAAAATGGTTAATGCAAAATTATTAATGCTTAAAGGTCAGCTCCAATTGTCTGGAAAATTTGCTTAGGGAGAATACGCCTTCATACCAGATAAAGTATTACCAGTTTTGATATCCCTAAATATAACATTCCTAAAACAACTAGCAAAATTTTCTCTATAACCCCTAGGCTGCCTTTTTACACTTTAACACCAGTGCCTAGCACAGACTTGCTTGTGGGAACTCCTAGGGTAAGGATTGCCTGCCTAAAAAAGGCTGGTACCTAGAGGGAAACTGGCTAAAGACAGCCTGCAAGTCATCATGTCCGACTACGAATGCCTTTCCTGCTGTTCTGCTCCATCATCTCACAGGGCACTGGGATATTGGGTACCAACTCAAGAGATAAGAAAGCTAGACTACTCCCAGGACTTTCCCTGGGAATGCAATCCCAGAACTGTCTCATAAATATTGCAACCAGTTTTAGGGAGAGTGGTGCAAAGAGGTTTATCAAAGCCTTTTCATTCTAATTCTGATCCAGATGACCTTCCAGAACAAATATGGGCTCCTTGTCACCAAGATCAACCTTAGGGAAAAACTTGATAGTGGGGAAGGGCC